ACAAAAAAATTTAGGTAAATTCGCGTCGTGGACTAAAAATGTCCACGACGCGAATTTCCTGCTGTAGCTTGAATAATATTTGAACCAAACACGATGTTGAAAATATTTGAATATAGCACTTAGCAGTAGATTATTCATTATTCATTCAGAATTCAAGAAATTTTAATTATTTTTATTGGAATATGGACGATACTCTTACAAATAAACAAAACGTACATACTTTTTGGATGGTGAAGTATCAAACATCAGCCTCCTGAACATCAACCGACAACCGACCCCCCTGACAACAAATACGCTGTGATACTGAAGGAACTAAAAGAGAAGCCTGATCATCGGTCTTAAAAATATCTTCAACTAAAAAGACAACCTGTTACTGCTGCAACTGAGTATTTCTATGGTCCATACATAAAATTGACGTTTCTGTGTGCAATAATTAAAGGTTTAACACATTGTTGAGTGATTTCTATAAAAAATCTTCTGTAAAATCTTATGTACATTGTGACCGAAAAGCTTTCGGAAATTCTCATTTAAAATTCGCGCGCTGTATATTTTTCGATATTTTAAGTGTTATGTAGTTTGCAGCACTGTCCTTAATTTACTATGCCAAAAATGAGCGCGATCTGCGGACAGTTCGTTTACGGCAGCTGTTGAAACCAGTTCACCTCAGTAGTGCGTTGCGAAAAAAACAATGGAAAAAAATATTGAACAAAGAGTTTGCATCAAATTTTGTTTTTCGAACGAAATTTCGTGTGCAGAATCGTTGCGAATGCTACAAAAGGCTTATGGGGAATCAGTTTTATCGAAAACTCAAGTTTATGAGTGGTACAAAGCCTTTCAGGACTGTCGTACGACCGTCGAAGACATGCCGCGTTCTGGACGACCTTCGACCTCTACCACCGACGAAAACATTGAAAAGGCAAAGGAAATCGTGTTCAAAAATCCTCATGTGAGTGTTAGAGAGATAGCACGAGAGCTAGGCATCGGTCGTGAGATGGCTCGTTTGATTTTGGTGGACAATTTGTGTATGCGACGTGTCAACGCCCGGCTTGTTCCGATTCACCTCAATTTGTTCAACATTATCAACGATTTTAAGGCCAAACATTCAATAAATACCATCGAACAGCCACCGTATTCACCTGATCTTGCACCGTGTGACTTTTTCCTGTTTCCCAACCTCAAATTACCACTCAGAGGAACGCGTTTTGAATCCATAGAAGACGTAAAACAGAATTCGCAGAGGGAACTCAAAGCCATACCGGAAAGCGCCTATAAAAAATGTTTTGATGATTGGAAGAAACGTTGGCATTTGGTGTATCGCTTCTAATGGAGCATATTTTGAAGGAGATAAAATAAATATTGATGAAGATTAAGAATTTTGCGTTTTATTTAAAATTTCCGGAAACTTTTCGGTCACAATGTAAGAAGAGATAGCTGAATACGATATTCGCGCTTCAAAAACTCATTGCCCAATACTGAAGTTTTACTTCAGTCAAATCGATAACTCATCAGATCCTATATTATACAAACTCATATAGAATTCATTCCTATTAAACTGGTACAATTACAGGGGTTGATATTAACAGTGAAACAAAGCAAGACACAACTACCGAATTCTTATCAAATCATTTTACATCTTCAATGGAAAGTAACAAGAGGATGAATTATAACAGCAGATATATATATAGTATAGCCGGTTGCTGAAATCCATCAACTTCTTTAATGCAGAAATTTTATCAAAACATTCAAGTATACGTTGTAAGCAGCTCACACATATGGATTCGAGACTTGATCTCTTAGCCGCGTTAAGAGCAGACTGCGCTAGAAGTTGTTAACCCCATATGTAGAGTAGCACGTCTACGGTTCCGGAGCCCACATAATTCTTTAAACTCTCTTATATAACTTGAGCATTTTAGCAACTAAAGTACCTTATATAGAAATTTTGGAAAACATGTAAATTAAACAGATTAAACAAATTGTATTGGTATATGTTACCTTTTTTGAGTAGTGCTCAAAGTATGGGCCAACTGATTTGGTTATTATTATTACTATTAATAAGTTCCTCCAAATTTTGCATTGTGGCCAAGAAATCTATTGCGCCTTCTTCATGGATTTGGAGTATTTGTTCAAGAGTGATTTACTTAATAAATAATTGTATTTACCGGGTCTTATTTTGTTATAAGATATGAGAATCCCAATTAAATATTTGTCGTGTATGCATCGGTAATGGACGAAGCACATTATTTTAGATATCAATCTCATTTCTACAACACCTACAAGTGACATTAGAGTTCCTAGTTTGCAATCAGAATTTTTTCAAATAACTTTTAAGTTCTTTTTACCAAGTTGCATATAAATTTAAATCGTTTCAGATTAAATTCTTATAAGCAGTTTCGATTTTGATAAGTCTGGCAAATTATCACAGAATCGTTACTTCTCCTCTTCTTCCCGATTAAATAAGTAGCAATTATACCTTCCAAGCCACAGAATGATTACCTATAAGCAGAAAACTTGCTCCTTTCCTGGCATGCAATTTTACATCTTCAATCCATAGGATCCGATAAACTCATAAATGATTTTATGAGTCAAAGATATTAAAAGACTTTGGCTTTAGTCTTGTTGTAACCTGATGGGTAGTAGAGAGAGCTTCCATTACTGCCCGACTATCAATTATATTGGTTTAGTAGTTAACCAACCTAACTGACATATGGTTATTAATACCGCAGGGGTAACAAGTCAGATATGATTTCGATTTTTGAAATGAGATTCATATGCACTGCAGTGCGGAGGTGACTTTGTGATCGAAGGATACATATTTCCAAAGTATATACATCTTATACCTTTCGTGTTTGAGATTGCTTTTGAAGATAAACACAGACACGTGTCTTGACATCGGATTTTCGAAAAGTGAAAAAATTTAAAAAGAGTTACGTAAGAAATCACAGCAACTGCCACAGAGGCACTGCGTTCGAACTCGGAATTGTAATGAGGGGAGCACTTGCCTCTTCTGAATTTGTTGTTAAACACAAATTTAATGTCATTACATTTGTTGTTTTGAGCTGTAAGACAATTCATCGCAAATTACCACAGATGACATCAAGAAACGACAAAAAATTAAAACATGAAACATTTAAAGAAATTAACAAAAGGTCATGATTGTTTTGCATTTCGAATTTGTTGTTGTCTTTTTGTCTTTCTGTGTTGTTGTATTGTTGTATTGTTGTCAAATGAAAGTGTTACTACGTTTTTACGTTTTTAACTATTTTTGAAATGTTATCAATCTTACAGCTTAAAATTGAATTAAATTAAAATTGTTTGTTGCGTTGAAGTCAGTTGACGTCGTTCGGTCTTTGGCTATTACGGGCCAGATTCGGAAATGGCTCTCACGTCCCGTAAATTAAGCACTGCGTAACGTAATATCAACAATTGAAATGCAAAAAACGAACCGATATCATTTTTTGTGATTTTGAGATACTTTAAGTTGAGCTAAAGATATCTGCATTAAATGAGACGTGTCCGGACTGCGTATCAGAGGCACTCACAACTGCAGTCCCTTTTTGGCGGCTTCAGTTCAAAATTTTGCATTTCAATAAAATTTGTCATCATGGAATTTTGAATTATTTATAAATTTTTTTATTTTGTGCATTGAAGATTTTTGAGGTCTAAATTTTTTCGTCAAAACTTAAAATCGGTTAAAATCGTGGTTAATACAGCTTTCACTAATCTTCGAAAAATGCGATGGTAAGTTGAGGTGATTTAGACTGATGAGACCCGTTAATATTAGGACGGCTAATTGATTTAATATTTTAAAGTTATGCAATTGCATTTATTGTTTATTGCCGATATCATAAGGCTTAATGTGCAGAAGATAGACTTCAATAAATATTTGCGCAATTATTTCTACAAAAAAGAAAAATTAAAATTTATTTTGCAACACTTATTATCAGAAACTGACGATATATTTCAAATCTTTGATTTATATTATTAAAAAAAATAAACAGATTTTCAGGTTCGATTGAGATTCAACCATGAGAGATTAAACTTTTGCTGTCATGAAATGCAATAAACACAGTCTGTCGAAAAGATATAAGGTTGAGTGAAGACGAAGCATGCTGATACAACTAAAAACACCTTTATTTAGAGTTTTCTACTGTCTATTGTGATGTCTTAAAACAGCATAGAGGGCGGCAGTTTACACTAAACGTAGTTGTTTTAGTATATTTTACTTGTTGAACCAACCTGGGGACATCCCCAGGACAAAGTCCATGTGCCTTACCTCTGCCATGCTCGTGAAGAAAGTATTGTTAAGACATAAAAGTCGCTTTTCAGAATACACTACTATTGAGGCATCAACGTGAAGGTTTAATTAAAGGAGAACATATTGTGGTGCATAACATATGTACCATATATACAACTGAGAACCTGAGAAATGTGTAAAATTCATTGGCTTCAACATTTTTAAACATTTTTGTCATTTTTTTAAGTCAATTTTAGAAAGTTTAGAAAATTACAACAATTGACAAAATAATAATAATGAAAAGCTCAATAAAATAAATTTCTGTGAATCTGCAAATGAGCCTATTATTATCTCACATAAAATTTATAAATATACCTAAGACAATACAAACAAACTCAATTTATCTAAACAAAAAGAGAACAATTTAGTATATTCTCTGAACAACGTTTCGGCTTCACATAATAAAAATGTGAAATACTGATTGGGATTACATATTCCGAAAATAACCTTGACAAAAATAAACCCAACAAAGATTCACATTGGAACAAAAATATTAGATTGTAAATTAGTTCACGATAAGAAAATTATTTACCTACTATTTTATTTTATTTTATCGTACAAAATGCAATGACTCAAAACTTTGTTATCAGACTCGAAATCGTAGATGTTTTCGCTTGGAGGCGATGACTTTTTTCTATGAAATAATTAAATAAAGAATATTTTTTTGATTTTATTAAACTTCTATTAGTAAATGTAAAATCGTTACAAGTATCTAGTGGTTAGGAACCCACTACTTCAGGCACTACGCAAGATCCTTCATTTGGTACGAATACTTGACCAACATTACACAGCATAGGGATTGCCGACAGCTGTCCTTTTTTACTGATGCACATAAAATACATTGCTGGATCTGAATTTGAACCAAACTGTCCCTCTTCGGTGCAAACAAAAGTTTCATTGTTCGCTTTCAGTTTTGCTTTAGCATCCTTTTTTGCTTTCTTCGCTAATTCCTTTTCCAATTTTTTTTCAACTTTTGCTTTCAATTTTTGAGTTTTGAGTGCTGTTTTTACAATCATTTTATACTCCTTTAACTCATGGCTCACCACATCCTCATCACTGGCTTTCTCATCAACCATGCCAACTAAGTTATTCAGATTATTGAAGTCATAGAAACATTTTTCAAGAAACTCATTATAAACCATTCCAACTGGACAAATGATATGAAATTTGTAAAAGCCTTCAACACCTGTGACATGCGGTATGCACAAATAATATGAATCATTTCTATGAAATTCAGGAATTGGTCCGGAAAACGTACAATTAAAATCGTCATCACTGCAAGCTGATAAGTCTCTTGCACAGCGATCGAGTTCTAGACTGTATGCTGTACCTAATGGACACTTTTTTAATCCCAGCTCAAATCGATTCGTCAGTGGGTTAAGTGAGCATAAATAATAGGAATGACAATCGCTCTCATGTGGAGTATTTCCAATAATAGAACAAGTTTGCCCGACATGCGCTTCAACCACATTACTAGTTGTAGTTATTGTAGTTCGATCCGGTTCAATAGTGGTCTCTTCCACAACGTCAGCATGTTCAGTAGTTATAGTTGTTGTAATGTGTTCTGATTCTGTAGTGGAACTTTTCTCATCCTCAGTATCTTCTTTATCACACTCTGTAGATCTTGTTTTGCTTATGCTTTCACTTGTTATAATATTTTTTGGACATTCACATTCCGTAATAGTTCCATCTAAACAAGCCTGTTCGCAATTTTCTGGATTCATTGATGTAAATGTCTCTGTTTCATATTTTATATTCACTTTGTTCTCATCGAATATATTTTCGGTGTAAGTTTTTAATTTATAGTCATCATGCGAAACTGTTGAAATGGTCGTTATAGCATCTTCAACAGTTACGAATACTGCTTTGGAATCACTAATATCAATCATTTTCTTAGTGTCCAGTTGAAAATTTTTTGTGCTGCTACTTAAAATACTTTCTTCTATATCTTTATTAACTGCTATTTTCTGCTCTACATCGTTTTCCTTTACAAATTCTACAACTGCAGTGCCTCTTGGGACATCTATGACAACTGGCATTCCATCCCCTGAAGAAATCATTAAGTTAACAAAGTCAACCTCTTCAAAGTTGGCAGCGATTTCGTCCTTTATCACTTTTAAATCTGCAACGTATTCTGTAGTTGTCACTACATTTTCAGTGAGTAAGTGAACACTTTCAGATGATCCGTCTCCAGAGATGCATTTCGTAATTTGCTGCAAAAATAATATCGAAATCCTGAAATTAATTTATAATTTGCAATTCTTTCTCAAAATCTTACCAAAATGCAAACCGCAGCTAAAATCCATCTTTTCTGATCTCTCATTTCGAAAATTCGTTGTTAACTATTGCGTTACGCATCAACTTCGAAGCTATATAAACTGTGAGATACTATTTGCTTTTAGTAATCTTAGATAAATACTTACACAGAAAACAACAGTTATGGCTTGATTGTAACCGCTAGTTTCCTAATCTCGACGCTTCGCAAATACGCACTTGCAGCTATCAACTATCTTGCGTTATGAGTGCATTTCGGTGATACAAAACAAATCTTACAACCTTGACCGAAATCTCTGCATCAAACCGGATGCATACAATAGAGGTAAGAACAAATATTGCACTTTATGGAAGTTAAAAATCTAAGGGAAATAGCTATCCGTGAAAATCAGTTAGAAATTACACTTACGGGTTTTATGTTATTACTTGTATTCCAAAAAATCTTGCATTCAATTTCCGTTTGCAGACATACGGAGACGTTCCTTTATTTTTAATTATTTCTAAACGTATAAATGATTTGCGAGCTTTCAACTCTCAAGATTGTTAAGCCGTTTAACATATAATGGCAAGAGGATGCTAAAATGATATGATTGATACTAGTATTTTCCGTTAAAGCAGGAGTACATTCTAAAATTTCTTTTTCATTAAACAGTATACAGTCAGGTATTGTACTTCTATGCTATCCTGCTCTACACAGTCTTTTAATTTGAGTTAACAGTGTGGTTCAATGATTTACAGAAGACTCAATTCACAAAAAGTGTTGCATACTTTTAGATTGCGTCACTTTATTGAAATTTGAACTTTTAGATAAAAATAATCAGATTGGCATAAGCAAAATATTCATTTTCACTTTGACGGCTGTGCTAAGTCGTTGGTCGATGTCTCTAAAGCAAGCAAGATAACGACGCTTCACTTTCTTCTCTACATAAACGTTCTAAGTTCTGTACTTCTCAATCATTTAGGCGGGTTGAGTAGATGGCAAGTAAATCAACTCATATCAGTATGTCAAGAGATACGACGATATACGGGAGGTTTTATCAGAACAACGAAAGCAGTTAATCGCAGAAACCAGAGCACAATCAATGGAATACTTCCTGTATGTGCGCAGTCATATGAGTTGCTAGTCTGCGGGCTCAGCAACATTAGACTGCACTCTAAGTTTCTGTATTTTGGATTATTTTCGATGTTTCCGGTTTCAGGCTCGTATTCGTATTCGCATTTAAGGATTTGTGATATTTGTGATATTTGTGATCAATTCATTTGTGCACATAAAATACTTTTGGATAAAAAATACTGCATTGCTCCAACTTATGCATTTTCATAGTCAATACCCGTCCGTTTAGGTTTTAGTGATGTGTGTGGGTGTCTTTACCTATCTGAATATTTGCTAATCTCGTAGACATAATCTTGTGATAAAAGTTCTTATCAGAGCACAAATAAATTTAATTGTATCTGCTTACTCAAGCAAACACAAACAAAAAATTTTTAGTGATGTGATGATTTTAATTGCTCAATACTAGAATCACCATAAAAAAATAAATTTATACATAATACGCAATACATAAAAAAGATTATACGTTGAGACTTAAAGCGCATTCTAGTCTTATCCAGATCCCCGGAAAAACTAACGTTAGTCAATATTATTTAAATGGAACTGCATTCTATTAATAACACACATCGGGAAACAAATATGCCTCGAAATCCGTTGGAAACCTCGTTGATACCTTCGCCGGGTGGTATCCGTCGAACTCCGCGATCAGCTGCGGCTGTAGCAACTGCCGGAGTTCAAAGGAGACGCGTAATTAAAAAGCACATTCAACAAAAGTACCTGCTGTGTGGGTTCGCTATACATGTACATAGTAATTCTCCAATATATATATATACCAAGTATTTTAACTCCATCTATAAACAAATTCATAGACAAATTTTCTCAAAACTCGCTGTATTATTATCACTCACGCCGCTTATCAGTGACAACTATTTAACTTTATTATTTTTATTTTTGTTTTTGCTTTGAGGCGTTCTTGTCTACTCCTGCTTATCTCTACGGTAACATTGTGGAGTCTGATAAAGATTTGGTGTTGCGTATCTGGCCAGCGATAGTTTTTCAAGCAACCGGTCAACTGTGCCGTTCAATATTAGATCATTTGGATACGGAATATCGTGGTCGTCCACGTGAAACTTCCCAGTATCGGCGCGTATTCCTATTTGCGACTGCAATCACCTGTGTTTCGCTAATGATAAGTGGCTTTTTCTTCTCCTCGGCATGGGTTACTGTCACAACAACAACACAAGCAATAGCAATCGTTTTCTATGGTTTTTTCGCTGGTAAGTATATATGGATATGGATAGTGAAGAGACACACGACAGAGAGTGAATAGTAATCTAAACTTTGATAAAAATAATAACAACAATAATTCAGATAGTTGAATTCACATCAAAATGTTTTTGTTTAGATTAAAATTAGTAATGATTGAGTTTGTTCATTTCATGTCAGAAAATTGCTTGCAGTTTTAATATTGTAATGTTTGTGGCATGCCTTCCAAATAATATAAGGAAAATGGGTTTTAAAATATGGAATAGTAACGCTTAGTGCATCAATTTCACATAGTTTTATTATGTAAAAATTTATTTTAGTTTTACTCTACGAGTGACTTGTAATATATGAAGTATAATATGGAGAAAGGAATAATAAAGAATGCTAAGGTTAAAGGTCCTAATCCTATGGATTATCAATAAGTCTTCAACAACCATAATTTGGAATTCTCTAAACAAACTAATTGGTTTTTATTTATCTAAAGACGGTGCAAAAAATCAATTAAACACATAGTACTCTACTGTATTCGGAGACTAATAGCTATATACAAATAATTCATTATATGATAGGTATATATGTAGAATATGTTATTCAGATCAACATTAGATTAACCTCTTTTATTTTTTAAACTATTGTTAGCAAGTGAAGATGACGTCTGAAAGTGCGAATATCTGAAATAACAATAGTAAAAAAAATAGAGGTTAATATAATCTGAACAATATATGCACACATAAATCACATACTTATTATGATTTATATTATTTTATACGACTAATGACATCAACTTTTTATAGGCGTTGGTTCCAGCCTATTTATCTGGAAAACACACGTAATGTAATTTTTTATTCGATAAATTAGTTATTAAATATAAAGATAAAAATCAATATGCTTTCAGATTCGAAGCAGTTCGTCCACGCGAAGACAAATTCGTGCGTAAAACAATTCAATTATGCGGTGAGGCATTTTGTCAACTATTCTTATCGTTTGTTTTTACCAGTCTTCGAACACTTTATGGTACTGCACAATCTATTGTCCTCATGTCAGCACTCTTGGTAAATTTAATACCAATTAGCTTGATTATTACACGGCACCACGAAGGAGCCA